GGGTGAAATACGCTTGGACGGCATTTAGGTCAAACTGCTGTGGAAAACCACTACCTTGTCTCAGCATGTTGGGTGAACCTTAGCCTCGCTTTAAGCCATTGAGCTAGCGGTCAATTGGTTGTGCAGTATGAACACAGCAATTCTATTTTATTCTTGGTTTTGGGGTTAGACATATTGTGTGAATCCTGCCAGCGTCAAGTTCTGTTGGCAGCACCTGCAAAGGACTAAAAGGATATATTTACCAGTTATCCTCGGCTTATGTTGGCAACAGGGACCAGAACCGCCATCACTAAGTGACTTGGTCACAGAGTATGACATCCCGTGACCATGCTGCTTAGCCAGGGCAAGGCTGGCGGTTTTCATAAAATGAGGGCCTGAAACGTCTGGTTTCCTGCTGGCTTCCCCATTGACTTTGCTTTTGGCAAAGGAACAGAAATTGTAACCATGTGACTGTAGGGACACTGCAATGGCCCAAACTCAGAGGACTGTGTCATAAGTCCCTCTCCTTCAGCATTGTTTGAATGGTCTTTGAATGATTGACGTAACACGAGGAAACCCAAATTCCTTATTTGCTTCTTCTAAGACTAGAAATGTTACTTTTTCCCTCTCTAGAAGTAAGATGTTCGGGTGACTAATTTCCACCCCAACTTATTTTTGCACCCTTGATTTGGTCTTGTAAGTCATGCAAAGTTTGTGCTGGGATTACAGAACCTGTCAAATTAGCTTGAAGCAGTTTAGCCAAAGAACTGCCCCCTGTTGAAGCTCCCTCGTTTCCTCCTAGGTAAGAGAGGCGAAAAAGAAAGATCCCTTTGAAGAAAGCGGGTTGAACCTGAGTCCCACTGCAGCGGAAGCCAAAGAGAGAGTGCGTGCCAAGCGGGTGAACAAGAGGGCGCCTCAGATGGACTGGAACAAGAAGCGGGAGATCTTCAGCAACTTCTGAACTCACCGAGGGCCCCGTTTCCCTTCCGGCCCCTCTTGCACGGAGACATTTGCAAGGTGCACAAATTGTGCCCCACTCCAAAGGACAGGGCCACAACGCACTCCACGCCCCACATTTTTCACAGGCAAGGCGGATTCTCTCGATTGCGAGGAGCGAAAGGAAAGGCGAAGAAGGTGGGAGGGAGGGAGAACCCGTTTATATTAATTATGGATCATTTAACTGGCAATATTAGAATATATTATTTATAGGACCATTTTTGTATAAGGAATTGTTTGAGTTGCTTTTCTTCCCCATTTGTGTTTAAATATTTTACAATATTTTTACATTCCAAATCAGCACCTTTCCTTTCCATATAGCTGAAAGCTGGAGTTTCTACTACGTAATGGACTGCAGTGTTAACAACTTCAGAAAGGGATTAGCCAACTTCTCCTTTGCTTGTGACACTTTTGGTTCTCAGTGTGGAGTTTGTTTTTTCCATACTTTATCTTCAGTGCTTTATTTTTTTCAGTAGTTTATTCAGTTAGCACTTGAAATTCCCTTGTTTTTAGCATAGCAGGTCCTTTTCTTTTCAGTCCTTTTTCAGGCTCATAACTAAGCAAATACAAGATTTTTATGTTACAAAATACCACCTATGATTAAAAAAGATAGAGATCGTAAGCAGTCAAGCCAACCTCTTAAGGACCCCTGAGGGAAAACCTGCCATTTATTAAGGGATTGTAATCTGAATTCTTTTTTTTAATAACAGTCGCTCAATAATGAGATGAAAAATAATGAAAAGTTCCTTCAAGAATGAAGTTCTTGCTGGTAAGCAAGAAACATCTCAAGGTGAATTTCATCTCTATTATTTTAGGGCATTAAAAAAAAACTTTCAATGCTTTAATTTTGCTGATCTTTCAGGAGCTGTGAGGCAGCCAGCCTCCTTTTCAGCTTGCAACCTAAAGTAGAAGCCTTTTTCTGTCCCCAAGATGTTGACAGGGTTTGGTCTCAGGTGGGACTAATCTTCACACAAGTGGTAAACATGATTGTGAATTTGGTGTGAGGCTCTTACACGGTTGTTCTTGGGGAAAGTGTGAATGCAAGATTCCAGTGGGCCTGTCTGCTGCTCCCCAAAGAACATCTTGGCACATCTGCTCCAGATCTGTGTCCATTTGGCCTAACTCGGGGAAGGCTCAGCATCCAGAGACAGTGGGCGGTGAGGGGTTCCTGCAACTCTGTGACGAGATCTGGTGGTCATCGTTGGCCATTGACCGTTCCGAGGGGCCGAGAGAATGGAGCCCACAAGGAAACTCTTACATCTAAGCTGTTTAGGCAAGGAGTGTTTTTACTCTATCTTTATTCCTGGCAGGACACGGGTCGTGGGACATTTCTGCAGCATATGCCACCCTGCCTTGGATTCAGGTCAGGACAGAGCAGGCACCACCAAATGGATTCTCTTTTGGTGGGAATGTGGTTCTAGTGTTTGGAACAGCATAAAATCAAGGCAAATATTTCCAAGTAATTTCTGCAGAACTCTCTTGCCAATTCAAATGCCACTAAGAGTTCTGGACACAAAGTGGGGCTCACTCTGGACAGAAGTACAGCTCCCAAATTTCAGGGATGTCCCAGACTCCTCCAGATGAGCTACCAAATTGGAATGATTAATTTGGCAGGAGGGACAAGTGGCAAGTCAGAAATAATGTAAACCACATAGAGTCTTCATTAAACCTAAACCTAACTGAGCTAATGAATGAACCCTACCCTCCTTCATTTTTTTTTGGGGGGGGGGGCAGCCTCTTACAGGATGAGGGTGGTCTTTGGCATGGAAGAGAATGTCCACCCAAGAACAGTTCCCTCCGCAGGAAGGGAAGGGCCTCGCAGCTTTGCTAAGGAGGGAAGGAAAAGGACAGGGATGGGCCTGCCAGCCTTCCCTAGGAAAAGGAACAGCTTTTCTTTAAAAAACAAAAAAAAGCTTTAAGAAGCTAGCTGAATGGGATGTAGTTTTTCTTTCTTTTTTAAAGAAGCAGAGGGCATATAAACAATTGCCTTTTAATGATGGCAGAGATTAAATTTTGCTCTATTTAAGGGTCCACCAGGGACCCAAACTCTAGACGCTGGCAGCAAGGGTGCAGTCAGAGCCCTGCCTTTTTTGTCTACAAACTTTCGCCATGTGCTCCTGAAAGGAGGGGGGAGTGATGTTTTTGAATGTTACAAGAAATGAACAAATTTGGAGCTTTATGAATAGTTTGTAAATGGTGGAGTTGAAGTTTGCTTAGTTTATTCTCCCTTTGAAAAAAAGGTAGTGGTTGAGCAATTGCAGCATTTCTTTCGAGAGGGGCTTTTGTTCAGGCGCTGCCTGGATTGACTGAAAGGCCCTTAGGAGTCGGTCGCCAGAGCGAGGGCTGGGATGCTCTGAGGAGGCTTCAGATGCGTGATCTATTAGTTTGGGATGCATTTGCACCTCTCATGCCAGGCTCCACTGCCTAATGATGCCCCTAGGAGCCTGGCTTCAACCACAGGATCTCTGGGAGAAAAAGGCTTCGTATTGCAAGAGAATCCAATTCCAGATTTGGCTGCTCGCCTCCTGTTTAAGAGAACTTGTCAGGGGTGGGGCAGAAGTTGCAATTCACATCTCACCCTTTCATGTCTTCCAATAAATCTGACTGCAGAAGATGCTTTTGTTTTTCAAAGGACAAGTAAAAGCCGTGAGTGTCGTGGTTCTCTGGAACTTTGTCTTGTGGCTTCGTAGGAAGGTGATATCCAGGTGGAGGCTTGGCGGGGGTCCCGTCCACCCTTTTGGGCTGGTAGGTGTCTGTCAGTTAGGCAGCAAGCAGTGCCTGTCATTTTTGAGTTTTATCTCTCCAGCTTGTGCACCTCGGGGCTCTGCAGAGGTGTTGGGGGTTGAGAACGATGAGTAGTGCATTTCTGCTTATCTGTGGAAAGTCCCAACTTGGGAAAGATTAAACAATATTTTTTTGATTCCATTGATGTTTGGCTTCACCATTGTCCATGCAGGATGTCAAGGACACAGATCACAGAAGCTGGCTCCTTGAACACCACTGTTAAAAAGCATTTTTAAAAAGATATTTTTTTTAAAAAAAAGAAAAAAATCAGGAGTGCCCACTGGGTGTTTTCCAAGAAGTCAAGATGGCAGCCAAGGCCCCGCCCTTTTTCACAGGTGACACGTGCACAGAGGAGGTAGGGCTTCCGTTGCACAGCTGTTCTTGCCATCTCCAGTTTTTCTTTCCTGCCCCCCCAGCTGAACCCACTTATGAGCAGGGAGGATAATGTCACTGCACTTTTCACTTTCTCTGCAATGATTCATCACCACATTCCAAATTATTTTAATAGCTGTCCTGCTGCAAGCGATTGAAGGAGGCATAAAAATGTGGCATGACAATGTACATAAGGTTACAGAAATGGAAATTCCACCCCCATCCAATTTATGGCTGCAGGAGTTCCCCTCTGCCTCCACTTGGGCATCCCCATTTCTGCTTGGCTCCCCACAAGTGAGAGCTGGTGGGCTCAGAGCCCCAGGCTGGGAGATGTCCAGCTGATCTCATGGGGGCGGGTGTGTGTGTGTGTGTTCTTCCTTGGGGAACTGGAGCCAGCACAACAGGGACCTGGAGACGTTGATGAGTGCCAATGTGGAGAAGGCATCTTCTGGGGGAGGTGCGCATGTTTAAAATGTGTGGGGACACCAGCATTAAGGTGGAAAATCCTCAGGGGTTCGTATGGCTTGCACTGAAAGTATTTTTTGAGTCACCTTTTATGGTTTGTTGTCAGAACTGCTTGGCTTCATTGTTTTATGGAATTGTCTCTAGACATCAGGGCAAAAGGCAGGCAACCCCCCCCCCCCATGGCATTTTCCTCCAGAGAGCAAGTGTGCAGGTGCCAACCTAAGAAGGGGCTTTGTTAGTTTTCAAGACTGAAGGCTGTCTGGACGGGGTGGGTGGGACGAAGGCCCCCCAGGAGCCCAGCAATTGCCCCGACCTGTCACCTGTGTTATCCCCAAAGGGACTTCCCTCTGCTTCCTGGCATGATGCTGGTGGATAAAAGCACACACTTTCTTCTTTTCCTGCCATCCTGCCAGCTCTGTAACTTGATTTCTGCATATTTTAGAAATTATCTCACACAAAAACTGACAAAAAAGAACTCCTTTAATTGCATTGTGTTTAAAAACGTATACTATAATGTCAATAATAAAACTGGTTTCTCATGGCTTTGTTGTGTTGGTGTCGTTGTTTTCTTTCCATCTTTGCCCCTTCCTAGGAACTTGTCCTCCGAGCACATTTTCCAACAATTCTCAAGATTCACCCTGTCACAAATGTTCTCCCTCGTCTTAGACTTTCCTGGAATGCAGATGCCAGACAGGGAAGAGGTGCGGGGGGGGGGGGGGGGGACTAGGCTGGTATGGGGCAGAGAAACTCAAAACCCAGGCAAGGTTGAGTTGGGCTGGGTGAGCCTGGCCTTATTTATGGCTGGTCTCCTTGCTTAAGGAACCTAGCAATTCTCCATGGCACTTTGAACCACGGCCTCTCTGATCCTAGTTCAGCCATGAGCCCTTGTCTGTAGAGTTGCATCCCCACTAACTAGTCAAGAGCAGAGCAAGAATGCTAAGTTGGTCTCTTACACGCCATTGCACCCTGAAACTCGGTTGCCTGCTTGAGTTGGCTTTTGGGGCAAGACGCACACTTGGCAGTTCCCAGCATCTCTCACAATTACAATGACCTCTTGGGTCCCTTCCAACTCTGAATCTATTAATCATGGGGGGGGGGGGGGAATGTTGGAAGCCCAGGGGACTGCAGTTCTGCAATGGGCTGGCTTTGGCTCCTCCAGCATCCGGGCTGCGCCAGTTTCGCTTGCTTTGGGCACCAGTCCTTCCCTGAAAGATGCCGGGCTTGGCACCCAATCTGTCCCTCTCCAGTACTGTGCTGTGACTGTTGGTGCTTCAAGCATTCTGCCGGATGGTTTGTTTCCATTTCACTTGGAGAGATTTTGTTCCTTAAGTGATGAAACCAGCTATAAATATTTAGTATAATACAGATAAACACCAGATCTGTGCAGTCATTCCTTCTCTTTCCAGATTCCCCACTTGAATGAAGCCAGCCGAAGTCTCTTCCCACGTACCTTATTTATTAAAAGTGCTTCCTGGGCAAAGTCCATCCTTCCTGGATAGCAGCCTCTTCATGGAGGCTCGAGAGGCAGTGTGAAATCCCAGCCTGGCACTTCTGTGCCCAGAGCTGGAGGGCATGGAGGACTCCGTGCGGTCGTTCCCACCTCTTCCTCGTCTGGGGAGGCACTGCAGTTCCTGGGACGGGCTCCAAGCCTCAGCCTGGCGGAAAACAACTCCTCCCCAGCAACAGAAGCCCCGAGACAAAGAGGCCAGGGATGTGTGTGTGTGTGTGTGTGTGTGTGTGTGTGTGTGTGTGTGTGTTCCTCAGCGCTTCATGGATGCCGGGCAGATGTTCCTGTTGAGGCACTCGCTGCAACGTGGACGGACAGGCAAGCAGATCTGCTGCCCGAAGCCGACCAGGAGCCAGTTTATCTCACTCCAGAGAGTCCTGCAGGAGGAAAGGAAACATTCCAATGTAGTAGGAAAAGCAGCACAACCTGGAGATCCAGCAGTGCCTGAAGCAGCCCCACCCTGGGATGTCACAGGAAGACAATTCCCCACCGGAGAGACAAGGGAACATCAACCCCAGGACATAACTACCAACTCTGGAGCCTTAAGCAGCAGAGGTAAGCTGGTAGCCGACATTGGGGACACTAAAACGAGGTCGCCACCACAGAGGCTGCTCCCTGCCTCTCCTGGGCTGGAGGAGGCGTTTTAGAGCCGCCTTCCATGCTCAGTTCCAAGGATGCTGAAAGGGGACGCCTGGCAAGAGGGCAGAGCCCGGAGCTGGTCTTTGGCTTTCCTTAACAAGGGAGCGGAGAGACTGCCTACAACGGGGAGACACGCTCCCACCCTGCTCTTGTAGGTCAAAGGTCCAGCCTTTGCGGCCACTCTGACATAAATAAAGGTGGAGTAATTCCAAGGGAGAAAGAAAGGGGTGAGGAGGTGTGCCTGCCCCCCTTGGAAGGAGCAGCACTGCTGAGGGATCCGTGTGTAACGCAGACCTCTGACGACGAGTGTTTCCCAGCCCGCCTTCCAGAGAGCGAAGGCCGCTTTGGCGCTGTGGTTACGGCACCAGACCGGGAACGGAGAGCTCACAAAGTCTAGTCCCCTCTCAAGCACAAAGCGGCGTGATTTTGGGCCACTCAAAGTCTTATAAAGAACAAGGTGGGCGTGGAAAATCACTTCTGGAAATGTTGGCAAGAAAATGGCAGGGATTCAATCGAGGCGCTCACCAGGAGTCGAGACTGACGCGAAGCCCCTGCCCCCGTCTTTCTGCAGAGAAACCTGAGCTTTTCCAAGGTGGATCCCAGTTGCAGAGAGGAAAACGTGATGACCCCCACCCCTTTCTCCTTGAAGAGGCAATATCGGAAGGAAAGGTCAACTGGAGACCAGTTTTGGAGCCCCCTGGCCTGTATCTCATCCACTTCATTAAGGGTGTTGTGGTTGCAGATGGCAGTGGAATCGGACAGTGGGGAAGAACGGGGACCAGGTTCACCTGGGAGTGGGGTGCAGACTCCGGAGCCTCCAGAGTCTGGCAGCAGCGAGGCAGAGGGACAAGGGGAGCCTGTTCCCAGGGCGCATGTGCGCAGAGCTACCAGAAGGCAAGAGCAACTGAGGCAAAAGGGGTGACTTCAGAGTTAAGGTTTGGAGGTGATTGGCCCCTCCCATAAGGTATAAAGGAAATGCAAAGGTAGAGAAACCTTTGCTGGAAGCAAAGCTGTTTGCTCTGTTCGGATTAACTTTTGAAGCTCTGTGTGGACTTTGTACTTCGGTTGGCTTTCTACAGTTCATTTGGTACTTCAGTTGCTGGCAGCCATTCAAAGGAGAGAAAGGTGGGTGCTTATCTCGAGGGACTGTTTGGGACTCATTACCAGCTGGGAATGAACATAATTCTCAGCGTTGAAATAAAACAGTTGTTTGGACTAAGCATGTGCTTAATTACGGTCTTCGGAAGCCTTGGTCAGAACATGTGGGAGCTTCTTAACTCAATGTTCTTGCACAAAATTCATGGGAGCTGGGACACAGAGACTAAGAGGGAGGGAGGGAAGGGAAATGTTGAGGCTCACCTGGGCAGCCATTCTTCCAGGGCTTGCCTCGTTTCCTCTGGAAGTTTTGTTTCCTTTTTTGTCCACTTCAGCCTGTTGCAAATCCGATGTACGTGCGTGTCCACACCTGTAGTTCAAAGTCACAAAGAGGTGGCTGTCCTAAACAAGGATGGGGGGGCAAACTCCCAGAATTCCCCAGCCAGCTTTGGATTTTGGAATTTCACACCACATTGACTCTCTTTTGGTGGGAATGTGGTTCTAGTGTTTCTGAACAGTATAAAATCAAGGCAAATATTTCCAAGTAATTTCTGCAGAACTCCCCAGACTCCTCCAGATGAGCTACCAAATTGGAATGATTAATTTGGCAGGAAGGACAAGTGGCAAGTCAGAAATAATGTTAACCACATAGAGTCTTCATTAAACCTAAATATACACCTAATTGAGCTAATGAATGAACCCTACTCTCCTTCATGGGGGGGGGGGGGGGCCCCCTCCCCCCGGCGGCGGGTGGTGGGCATGGAAGAGAATAGAGAACAGGGAGGGAAGGGCCTCGCAGCTTTGCTAAGGAGGGAAGGAAAAGGGCAGGCTTTGCTGGCGGGGGAATCCCAGGAGTTGAAGTCCTTCAGGCTTAAAGCTGCCCAGGTTGGAGACGCTGCTCTAGAGGGCTGGGTCAGATGATCCAACCCTACAATTCTGTCTATGGATTGGGCAGACACCTTAGCCGCTGCTTTGAACCAGAGGGTCTTCTGGGGCTTTCCAAACTCCGCCCCGATTCTTCCCACTCCCATGAACAAAACCTGGAGTCTCAGGCTGAAGGTCTTTTATTCAGCCAAGGGCTACACGGCTCTTCTGCACTAAGAAGGCGGTGGAGAAACCAGCAGAAATCGGGGGGGGGGGGGGGGGGG